GGGTGGGCCGGGGGCCCAACACCCCAGGATTAGGGTTTGGGTACGGTGAGTTCTAGAAAATGTGCCCGTCCGTGGGTGGTCGCTGCCTCGATCCGTTGCTTTGGCGCCCTCGACCACGACTCTGGTTGCCGTTGCCACGCCCTTGTCCGCGTCCAAAGCCACCACGCTGCCGGGAGGAGGAACCATCACCATAATTGCTGCCAAAAAATGTCCCCCACTGCCGGAGTTGCTGCCGTGAGGAGAGCCGCGCCCGCCAATCCCGCCGTGCTGTCCGCCTGCGTAGGTGCTGCCGCCATGGCCCGTCAGCAGCGCCGTGCTGCTGTTGCTGCCCAGGAGGGTCCGTTGTCGGTCAAGGAGGAGGGCCGACCGGACCTGGAGGAAACTCGGCATGGGATCTTGAAATTGAAGGAACGAGGTCTGAGCTTGGAGATCTTCGGGGAGGCCGCGCAACATCTGAAGAATCAATTGGTGCTCTGAAACGGGGGCGTCCACGTCGTCCAGCCAATCCGCAATATTCCGGAGTTCTTGACAATAAGAGGCCATGGGGGTGGATCCCTTGACTGTGGTACAGAATTGGTGCTCGAGGTGCATGGCGCGAGCATGCTTGTTGTCGTGAAACAGATCATGAATCATCTTCCGGAGAGCAGAGGCAGAGGAGGCGGAGGTCAGAACCAGATCAGAGACTTCATCAGTAATAGTGGAAAGAATCCAGCCTTGGAGAATGGCGTCAAGTTGGTACCATTCATCATCATCTTTTGAGGTAGGGACTATAGATCCGTCAAGATAGCTGTGGAAAGTGAACTGCTGGGCAAGGAGGAGGAACAAGCTGCTCCACTTCTTGTAATTTGGTTGAGAAAAAACTGAGTTGAATAGGGACATGTAATTTGACATTAGAAACAGAGAAAGCCAGATGTGGAGATTTTTGGGTGGTAGATTGAGAGGTGACCTCGTTTTCGGCCATGGTAGAGATAGGAGGAGTGGCCGGCCGTGCTAGAGAGAGGGAGAGTGGCGGCGGCGCTGGTGTCTCGGCGAGGGAGGAGGGAGGCCGAAAGTTAGAGAGGGAAAATTAGGGTTTTTTTTGTTAGGCTCTGATACCATGAAGAAGAATTATTTTCCTTAATTAAATTGTGAGGAGAGTACATGTATATATACAAAAGTCTCAATCCTAATTATGGTAGGAGAGACAATCTAGGAAACCTATACAAATATGGTAACAATAATAATACAATAATATTAAATATATTATATATATTTAACATTTAATAATGATAAGAGTTTAAGTGAGAATTAGGCTTTAATTTTATTTTCTTTCCTAAATTATTCACTATACACAAATTACTTTAGTTTATAAATTGCGAATAAGATTAATTTTTATGAGGTATTAATAATTTAGTATTATAGAAAGTAAATAATGGCATAACTTAAATTTTTAAATTCATTTCAAGTAGTCACGAGAGGCCAAAAAGGAAATAAATACTAATTTCCATTAAAATACCTAAATTAGTTACGTATTTTCTAATTTCCTGATTAATGAAAGAACTGCATTGCATTCTTTTTTGGTATTAATAATTAATAATGGATATAATTTAATAAATTCCCTAATTATATTAATTGTCGATTGATTTTCTTTATTTTGAATAATTACTACAAGCAAATATATTTTTAATAGTAATACAAATCTATTAATTTATTTCTTATTTGCAGAAATGATATTATTGGATACTTGGTGATGTTGTTGAAATTGAAAACACCAATGAATGGTGTTATCTTGGTTGTCCCAAGTGCAACCGGAAGGTTGTTCCAGATGCTACGAGGTTCAAGTGTATGAAATGCGACAGAGATTATCCTGAAGGAGTGTATAGGTTGTAATTTGCATTCAAATATTTAATACCCCAAAAGAATAATTTTTAAAATTACTAATTCATAATGTATGATAAATAGATACAAGGTGAGCATTTGCGTTATTGATCATAGCGAAGCTGCTTCGCTTATTTTATGGGATAAGGAATGTTCAGAGCTTCTTAGAATGCCAGCAGGTGCCATGAAGAGCAGGATGGACGAGGTATTGACTTATTTAACTCTTTAAAAAAAATTTTGTAATGCAATTTAAAATAACACTTTTTGAAACGTATAGAGAAATGATGATCCAAGCAACATTCCGAAGGAGATTAGAGACATTGTTGATATGCGGGCTTTATTTTGCGTATACGTCAAAGACGCTATGGAAAACAATTCCTATGTCGGTGGCAAAAGTTTTGGAGTTTCGGATCTTATAACAGATAAAACTATCATATCACGATATGAAACGATGGATTTGGATGATCAATTTGAACAAGCCCTTATAGAACATGAGAAGAATGGAGATGCTTTAGAAATGGTATTTTTACTCGCACCCATAAGCTAACGTGATTTCCAACGATTAATTCTTCATACATTTGGGAAGACTGCACAGTGTTGCGTTTGACGAAAAACATGCAGCTGCAATCAATGATTCATGATAGTGGTTATGATCAATCATTTGAATTTAGCAAATGGATTGAAAGTATTGGTGACGGGAACGCAGGTGATGAACATGACGGCTATGCTGAGGTGATAATTGCTGATGACATGTTACTTCCGTCTTCTAAAGATCCAATAGCCACTATAGTGAATTCAACTTATCCAGACTTTCGAAAAATAGCCAATGAACTGAGCTACTTGCAGGAGCGCGAAATTTTGGCTCCTACATTGGATGTCGTCGATTCCATAAATGAATATATGACAGCGATGAATCCAAGCAGCGAGACTCGAACATACCTTAGTTCTGATAAGGTTGAGAACTCGGATTGCAGTTCAAGTTTTTTTGGTGACCTACACTCTCCTGAATTCTTAAATAAGATTCGTGCTTCTGGTGTACCGAATCATGAATTAACTCTGAAGGTAGGCACGCCTATTATGTTGTTGAGAAATATTGACCATTCAACGAGTTTATGTAATGGTACACGGTTGATAGTAACATGGGTGAAGAAGTTGTTAATCCAAGACTATCATTAACACCGTCCGATACAAGAATTCCTTTCAAGTTTCAAAGATGACAATTCCATGTGGTTACTTCGTGCGCAATGACGATTAACAAGAGCCAGGTACAATCTCTGAAACATGTTGGACTACTGTTACGGAAACCTGTGTTTAGTCATGGACAGCTCTATGTTGCAGTTTCCAGAGTAACTAATCGTAGTGGATTGAAGATTCTGATATGCAATGAAGACAATATTCCCACAAAGACTACAAATAATGTAGTCTATAAAGAAGTCTTTCAAAATTTGTAAAACATTGATGTTCTGTAACTTAAAATGATATAATCTCTATATTCTATTGCATCTCATTTTTTATCATTAAAAAATGATTTGAATTTAATATCATTAAAATTTATATTCTTAAAGATTATAGCTCTAAGGTTTTATAAACAAGAGGTGAAAATACTGCAAAAATAAAAGAAAAATCTGGGCAATATCTATGAGAAAATTACACATATAGGACTAAAATAATGTTTATACCAATTAGAGCCTAAATTAATCATGGGAATAAAACTAAACTGAAAATCCTAACATATCACTTCTTTTTTTTCCTTTCTTTTTTTAGTAACGTCATCAACTGTTTTAATGTTTACATAATATTAGTATAGTAAACATTAGAGAATGAGTTTTTACTAACTAAAATATTGTTAAGAAGTTAGTTAATTAGTTACAAGAAGGCCTTTTTATATAGTTACCAAATGCTTTGTAATCATCATCTTAATTCATCATAGATATACGCATCTCATCATCATCTTCATTCCTCTCTTCTCTGCAAATTTTTTGAGAATCATATTGTTTATTCTCAATCTTAGCTTCATTCTCGGAGCATTCTAGCTTCTCTGATTATTGGATCCTCCTACATTGAATACTAACAGAAGGAATCACTAATTTTACGAACGAGCTGAGACATTGTAAGTACCTTAAAAAGTTAACGAGGTTAGTGCCACTACGACAATGCCGTTATAAAATTTATGATCATTGTGGCGATTGTCAGAGCGTTAATGTAACAAAAAAAGAGTCAAAATAAAAACTTAAACCAACTTGTAGCTAGAACAGAAAATAAATAGGCATCTATTTATCACCCATGATAGACCTTGTTATTTAGGAACAGGCCCGCAAGAAACAATTTGACGAAAAATTGAACTATTTAAGATGCAAAAATCACCTATCAAATCAATTTAACACACTTAGATAAGTATTCAAACAATGCTAAATAAAAATATTGGTGCAAAAAACACAATTGAGATATTTTGATTTGCCTTTAAGTTCAAAACTTTTTACAAATTAGAAATGCTATAGTGACAAACAAAGAATCTACAAAAATCACAAACATAGTATAGTATTAAGATCTCACTAGAATGCACTCAAATAATTAAAAAATATATAAAATTAAAATCACAAAAAGCACATTTATAAATTTTGTGAACTATTTATTTGTAACCAGCATTTCTTTTTACAGATAAAATTGTAATGTCTACAAAGTAAAAGCTGAAAAAAGGCAACAAAAAATAGTTTTTAACGCCTAAAAAATGTAGTGCCAAATAAATACTGAGTAATCTAAAATTGAAATGGTGATTTCTTATTTTTTTTCTTTATTAAATTCAGGGAAAACATATTCTTTCAAAAATCAATTTTTAGAACAGTAAAACAATGAAACAGATCAAAATAGGTTAAAAAGAGTTGCAATGAAAATCGATTAGAGTAATTAATGGTTGATCATTCACAAAAAAAGAATAAAAATCTAAAATATAGGTCCTGAGGAGTGCCATTGACAAAAAATAACTTGAATTAGAAAAAAAATTAAAGCATAAAAATCAAGAACTCACCACTCTAGAGGAGAAGCTGAGGAACTTTGCGTTCGACTAGGGGAGCCGCGGAGGAATCGATGAGGCGGAATACTGAATAGTCCTTTGTTATTAATTATTGGGCTTGAGTAATAGAATAAATCTAATATTGGGCTACAGATAAAATTAAAAATGGGCCCTTATATTTCAGAGGCCCTGTGCAAGTGAACCTAATTCTCTTGTTTAGAAATATTAGTGAAAAAATGTTTTCCATGAAAAATATTTTCTCAATAAAGATTTTTGTTTATTTTCGAAAGAAAATTCCAACTAACATCCTGCCCTCGGGCCTATCCGCTATCTCGCGCCATCGTCTGCTTTTCCCGCCCCCGCCNCCACCGTCCTCCGCCATTCGCCAAACCGTGTCATCAGCCCCTACCTCTTCCTTCTTTACCCCGTGCACCAACACCCATACACTACTCCGCCCGATCCATATTGGTAAAATAGTTTAAAGTTATCTTTATAACATTTTTTAAATACGAATTTTGAAATTTTATCAACTAAAAATGTTTTTTGGAAAAAATAATTTTCACGCTGCCCAAAAATGAAAACGGTAGGGGGAAAATAATTTTTCTTTGAATTTTTTTAAAAGTATCTTCTTAGAAAATATTTTCCTTCTAACTACTAGATCTTGGTATAAGTTATTTAATCACACTAATTTGCATGTCTCGTTTCCAACATGAGTACGGAGATGGATGGCCCAGAGGGCCGGGTGTGCAAGGTCGGCACTTACACAGAGCACTGAAATTTTAGGGCCTAATATCGCTAGACGTTTATTATTCTAATTACTTGATATTGTAAATTGTAAGATAAATTTGTATTTTTATTTTTTTATTCATGTGTTAGCGCGGGCCTCATTCTTGAATAGGGGGGAAGGACTGCCATTCCCTCTAACTTTATTGCCTCTTTTATTTAATGAATTCTGTTAGTTTAAAAAAAATATCAAATTCAGCAATAAATTTATAGTACAAGTACTCTTTAAAAAAAATAAATAAAGCTTATTAGGTGAATTTTGAATAGAGCCAATCTTGATTTTGAATCACCATTCACCACCGAACCAGCATAATGAATCGCGGGACAATGAGTATATGTTGGCTCGTGCCTCTTTGTGTACTTTTTTACATCTTTAAAAAATAAATACGAGTATTTAACCTTAAAAGGGGGGAAATTGCAGATTTTGTTCCATTTTAAAAAAGAAAACTAAAACTACGTCGTAATCCGCGAACAGCAGGACCGAATGCTAGCCGTTAACGGCTCTTTGACTTTTTGTATTTTCAAATTTCGAAATTCAAACCCGTCCCACGCCAAACGTTCCCTTAATATTCCACGCTCAACTATCACTCCTTCACTCTCCAACTTCCATTTCCCCTGTAATTTTTTTCCTTCAGTTTCAGAGAGAAACTTAATCTGAAAATCACTTCATTTTCGTCTGGCAAGAAGAATTGCCATGGGAGCTTCCGGAAATTGGATCAAATCTCTGATCAATCTCAAGAAATCCCAGTCCAAACACGCCACTGTGAGTTGAACAATCATATTCTCAGACGATTTTATTTTGATTTTTTCCTACTATTTTTAATTTCAAAGTATCAAATTGCGCAGGCGAAGGAGGGAGGGACTTGCAGAGTGTGGAAGCTCTGGAGGAGCGGATCCGGCGGCGGCGGAGGCGGCCGGGCGGGGAAATCGGAGAAGTACGTGGAGGATTCGGAGGGATCCATATCTTCCTTCGTCTCGGACAGCGCTTTGGCGGCAGCCATGGCAACCGTAGTTAGGGCTCCGCACAAGGAATTCGTCCTGATGAAGCAGGAATGGGCCGCGATCCGGATCCAGACCGCATTTCGCGGATTTCTGGTAACAATTTTCCTTCCTTTCTATTCATCCATAATTCTCAGCAGCTAGTCATAAGAACCCTAACCCTGACCATAACCGTAGTTTCATTAAATCACTCACTGGTTTGCTATGATGATGATAAGAACATTTTGCTGATCTGAAATTGAAGGCGAGACAGGCGTTGAGGGCACTGCGAGGAGTGGTGAGAATTCAGGCGATATTTCGGGGGAGGCAGGTGAGAAAGCAAGCGGCGGTGACCCTAAGGTGTATGCAGGCGCTTGTTCGGGCTCAAGCTCGGGTTAAAGCTCAATCTTCCTCTCAAACCAATGCCGATCCGATCAAACAACCATCCGATGAGGTAGATTTATACTCTGTCTCCTTCCCAAAAGTAAGTTAAATCAATTGCCCAACTCATAAATACATTGAGATTTGCAGAAGGGGTGGATTGATAGCCCGGTGACAGTAGAGGAAGCGAGAAAGAGGTTGCAGAAGAAGCAAGAAGGTGCCATGAAGAGGGAGAGAGCTATTGCTTATGCCAATGCAAAACTGGTACTGTATATTATTATTTTTATTACACATTGCCTCTTTTCAAATTCTTAGGAAGAAGATTGTTTCAATTTGCAGCAAACAAGAACCAATGTAAGCCCTTCAAACCCAAGAGGCACAAGAAAGGTGGAGAAGAGTGAGGAAGGGGAGAACAGCTGGCTGGACCGTTGGGTGGCAACTAAGCCATGGGAGTGCAGCACAAATCTTGAACACCACAATAGCAACAGCAATTTCTCTGGTGTGAAGATAAAGAGGAACAACATTTCCACCAGAATTACAGCGCCACCCGCGACAACGACAACAACAACAACAACAAGCCAGTGTTCTTCTTCATGGTACCTGGGTAACAACAACAGTGACAGCCCGACAAGCAGTCCTTCGCCAATGTCGCCTTCCAGCAACGACAACAACAGCAGCAGCATACCGAACTACATGATTCCCACAGAGTCGATCAAGGCAAAGTTCAAAAAACAGCAGAGAAGGTCATGTAACAATGGTGGTGGTGGTGGTGGCGGTGATGATAGAAGCAGCAGCAGCATCCAGAGGAATTCGTCTGAGGATTTTCGGTCATGCGGGAGGAAATGGAGCCCGCTTCGCCCTCGAACGGCGACGAGGGCAACTGCTGCTTCAGATAATGTCAAGAATTTGTGCAAGGATCTATACCCACCTATGCAGCAGCAGCAGCAGGCAGTGAGATGATCATCATCATCTTCATGAAGAATTTTCAACAAAAAAAACTTACTGGTTTTTTTTGTTGTGTGTGAAAATTTTAAATGTTTGCTGGTGTCAACATCTTGTTGTTGTGTGTAGAAACTGATGATTAAAAGATTGAGCAGCATACATATATGTAATATGTCATTACTTGATACTAGGAGCTAGCTTGATTTGTAATGACTGTAATGAGTGTTGGGACTTGATTGTTACCATATATATGTTTTTACAAGTTTTCTTTGTTCATATTATTGAATTTTTCTAAGATCTATGCAACTCTATATTTTTGAACCCTAAGATTGAAAGAAATGTATTCTATTGTGCCATTGTTTTAGAGCACTGGAAATGGGATTAACGACTTAACGCCCCCCGGCATCAACCTCGTTCTGACGTCCAACGGGCATTAAACACCGCCCCATGGCGGCGTTAAGGGGCGTCAGTTCCCCTGCATCAAAACTTTGACGCTGCCCTGCGCAATTCCCCACCTCTCCCAACGGCTAAAAAAGCCGTTACCACCTAAAAAAATTAAATTCAATAAAAAAAACTATAAATTCAATCAAAACAAACATATCTCTCACACATATCTTTCTATCTTCTCTCTATAATTCTATCAAATATTCTTTCAAATATTTTTCTATTTATTATATTTATTTCTACAAAACATTTCAAAAATGGGATCATCTTCATCTGATGATGAAAAGAGAGCTCTTTTTTTTGTTTCGCCATGACTTGTTATCAATGGTGGCAACAAGGCGAACAAGAAGCAGAATCCTCTTGATGTCGAACCTGACGAAAACGTCTAAACCAGGATCGAGTGGTTGCACACGCTTCACTTCTCAACTACTACTTCAATACTCTGTGTGTTTATATATACACCGGAGGATTTTAGTAATCGTTTTCAGATGAGTCTTCCTCACTTTTTACGCATACTTGCCGATATAGAATGCGAGGTGCCTTGGTTCACACAACGCTTTGATGCGAGAGGGAGACGCGGGTTTAGCAGTGTCCAAAAGTGCACTGCCGCGCTTCGTCACATGGCGTACGAAACGACATCTAATATGTTCGATGAATACTTGAAGATGTCAGCTCAGAGCATCAGGTCCTGTGTTTATTAATTTTCTAAAACTGTTATTTGAATTTATCATAAAAGATATTTACATAAACCTACAGCGAGCAACATTCAGCAGTTATAGGCAAGGATGGTGCTAAACACGACTTTGTCGGCATGCTTGAGAGCATTGATTACACGCATTGGGAATGGAAAAATTGTCTCGCTACGTGGCATGATCAGTTCTCCTGGGGTGAACATCCCAAGCCTACTATCATGCTTGAAGTTGTTGCTTCAAATGACTTGTGGTTTTGGCACGCTTTTTTCGGTGTCGCGGGCTCGAACAACGACATCAACGTCCTCTGTCAATCGCCTGTTTTTGACAATTGGATTAATGAGACCGCACCCGACTCGTCTTTTGAGCTTAGAGGGACGCTTCACAAGCCTGGATATTATTCTATGATTGCCAAGTCTCTCTTCGAACCAATGGATCTTAAACGCCAGATCTACAAAAAAGCTAATGAGGCGGCGAGAAAATATATTGAATGAGCCTTCGGGGTGTTGAAGGCTAAGTCGCATATTCTAGATCGTCCGTCCAAATGTTTTTCTCAAACAAAAATGAGGAATATCATATACGCATGTATTATTTTTCACAATATGATCATAGAGGACAATGAGTTTTCGATTTGTCATTACAACCCGGACGAGGAGGTGCCTATGTGCGAAGAAATTGATGAAGAAAAGAAATGAAGAAACCGCCAAGAAATTCGAAGCCGAGAGATTCACAATGCACTAAAGGCGAATTTGATCGAATATATCTTCAGTCACTCAAATAATCAGTAATTTGTTTGTAGTTTAGTTGTTTTTATGGATGTACTATTTTTATTTAAAGAATGTAATTTTTTTATTTATGGATGTAATATTTTTTTAATGAATGTAATTTTTTTAACAAACTATTATCCTTTTGATTCTTTTAAATAATTAAATAATTAAATTTTATTAATTTAATTTTAGAAGATGTATATTTAAAATGTTAAAAATGAATGTTTGAAATCCCAGGTTGAAGCCTCGGGGCTTCAAACTCATTTCCACTGAAACTGTGTGCTAAGTTAAAGCTAATGTGGCAGAGAGAAGGTTTGATGCCCCGGAGCTTCACGGGTATTTCTAGTGCCCTTAGAGTGCTAGGACCACCATTGATCTTTGGGTATAAGTTAATATACTTGTAGAAGAAATGGGCAATTATTGTCTCATCCCCTTCCTATCAAAAAACGCAGGATACCTTTTGATGTTAGTGCATCCTCAAATATGCCAATACTCTATTATATTAGTCCTTGAGTATTTGTTTTAATTTGGGGTTTTCAAATCAAATTGGAAACTTTTTAATTATAATTAACATAAAAAGTATATTATTGAATACTTCATATTATATAAGTATAATACTTCTTAATTTCTTAAAAATGTCGGTAAGATAAATCGAATAAAATCATTTTTGTATTTATATGTGATGCAATTTCTATTTTATTTGTGGTTAAAGTCTTTCAACCTTAACTCAAAAAAGTCAAACTAGATCAATATTATGGAAGCAGATAGTATTTTAGTAAGTTTAATATATTTTGTTCTAATGGGGATGAGTAAAAGGTCTGACTCGTACTATTTACGATGAGATCGGTTCTATCTTTGTTTTGTTACAATTGATCCAAACTAATCCGATTTTCTTGAAAAAATAGGGACTTTTTTGGACTAGTTTGTCTAGTTTAGACCGTTCCAATTCAAGTCCGGTTCAGTCCTTATTTTTTCAAAATTCTTTTTAAAATTAGAATATATAAACCATAACTTTTGATTATCTAATTTCTTAGATTACCATACATTGTTGATTTCTACATAGTGTTTATGCAACATTAACTTTTTTTGAGGTACAAGTTGAAAACCAATCAACACAAAAATAAATTCTTGAGTGTATCTTTGAAACTTTTTATTTTGTTACGCTTTATTTCTATATTTATGGAGTAAAAAATAGTGTAAACTAGCACTCTATATTATTACCTCTGTCCGAGTTTTAGTGTTTTTATAGTCCAAATTAATAAATTTTGACCATTACTTAAATAAAACTTATATTAGACATTGATACAAAATATATTATTAGATTCTTTTTATAAAATATCTTCAAAATTTTTTTTAATCTATTTAATGTACCACACAATTATTTTCTAATTATAAGTCAAAAGTTAAAAATGGTTGACCGTAAAAAGTCGTAACAGGACAAATATTTCGGGACAAGGGTAGCATAAGATTGATGTTGATGGCGATATAGGCCGGGAGACCCGGGTCCATAAGTGTCGGGCTCGACCAAATCAATGTTCGGACCGCAAGCAATAGAAGGCACAATAGGAGGGGGGCACGCTCGGTCATGCTTCAGGCAAGCCAAGGAAGGGCCTGCTCAGCGTCAAGAGCAATGTTATTAAAACAGGACCGGACTGGCCGGTCCAACCGGTTGGACCGTGAACCGGACATCAATCCGGTCCGGTTCAACATCAAAACCCGCCCTTGCATTGACCCATTCAAAACCGGAAAAACCGGCGAACCAGCTGACCCGGGTCAGCCCATCCGGTTCATGCTTCAGGCAAGCCAAGGAAGGGCCTGCTCAGCGTCAAGAGCAATGTTATTAAAACAAGACCGGACCAGCCGGTCCAACTGGTTGGACCGTGAACCGGACATCAATCCGGTCCGGTTCAACATCAAAACAAGCCCTTGCATTGACCCGTTCAAAACCGGAAAAACCGGCGAACCGGCTGACCCGGGTCAGCCCATCCGGTTCCCGGTTTCCAATCAAAATGCTTTAAATTTGATTAAAAATTTCCAAGGCAGGGAAATGAGCTCCTAACCAAATGAGCTGCTACAACTTTTGTCGACCATGCCATGCATTGTGGTATATATTACCTTCTTAAACTATTTAGAGAGCATTTTTAAAAAAAACTTCAAATTACTTAAAAAAGAACTATGTTTATATAATATAGTTATATTGTTGATTTTTAAAGTAGTTCAAACTTAAATATAATTAGTATAATTTATTTTTTATCTTAAGAAAACTATAAACAATCTATACTTAATGTATTATCTTTTATCTTTAAATTTATTAATTATAATTTAATATATTGCTTTTTTATATTTTCAATCATTTTAATCAACTAAAATATAAATTTTTCAATCTTTAAATTATTAATTAAAATCATTTTAATCAACTAAAATAAGAATTTATTATCTTTTTTTTATTTTTAAAAAATATAAGTATTACCTTATAATTTAAGTGTGTGTTAGACATTCAATATTAATTTTTAATAATAATAAAAGTAATAGAAAAAAATAGAAATTGTAAATTAAAATATATACAATGATATTAAAACTAGATGAAGAAGTAAAAACACAAGCTAAATACTATTTTAACTAAAAATATCTAATGGTATAATATAAAATATTAATATTTTAATTATAGTTTGACCGAGTCGTTGACCCGAGTTAACCCCGGTTCAACCGGTTAACCCTTGACTCAGTACTTTGTCCGAGTCGATGTCCGGTCCGGTTTTCAGAACATTGGTCAATAGGGGGATCGTACTCGTCAACAAAAGGGCCGCCTTGAAGTCAACCCCTCGGGGCCACCAAAGCTCTATAGGAAGTGCAGTGGCATCATGAGAAAGTTATAAATCATGGTATAAGACAAATGTAATCAATAAGTCTATGAGTTGCGACCAATGTTTGACTAGGGCTTGGCCCACTATCAACAATCCAGTTGAATCTTACAATAGTGAGGTCTGGGGAGATTGAGTCTGTGTATGCAAACTTTACCCCTACTCTAGAGTAGAGACGTTGTTCCCAAAGAGACCCATGTTTCCAGCACCATAAGTAATCATGTAAGCAGCTTGACCTCTATGCTTAAAATATGGTTGTTATCGGGTGACCCATGGTAAGCGACAAAAATTGCATTTACTAACTTTACTTCGTACTTCAATATTAAAAGAAGCGCATATAGTTTAAAGAGTCACTTTAGTTTATTCCAACATACTCTAAAGCCAAAAAAATAGTGAATCTTTGGAATTATGAGAGATGATGGAAGTGCTTAACCCACTATGTTACCTGTATAAATAGATCCCTTCATCCTCATGGAGGGGGGTATTCTAAGCATTCCATAGCTAATACATTGAGCTTTTCTCTACTCTTTTACTACACCCATAGTCTACTATACATCAAGACTTATCCTCCTCAAGATACCAAGATAATGAC